GAATGGCAAACTCACTCGCTTTTAAGCAGGAGTGAAAGTGGTTAAGCCCTAGGACAAATAAGTTGAAAATTTCAGCACAAGTCTGATCTCAGAGAGTTTAAAGGAATGCAGACTGCCCAAAAACACAGCAGCTGTTTGTTTTTTCTGCCACCTTTCCAAGGTTCATGTCTGGAGTGAGGATAAACAGTTCTGAAAAAAAGTTATGTGGAGTTCAGACTTTAAGAAAATAAAACATCAGACTAGCGTTTCTTGCAGAAAGATTAAAAAACCCCAAACCTTAAATTATTCAGCCCTGGAAGTTTTCAGGTAGAACTCTTGGGAACAGAGAGGTAGATGGCTCGAGGCTTCAATATATTAAAATGCTTTCTCTAAACCAGTGTGCATTTTCAAAAGCTTGGCATGATATGGTTTGCTTGGGCAATAATCCTCCAAGCGGAGTTTCAAATTTAATAAGGTATTCCCTATCGCATGCACATATGTGCACATGCACACACACACTGACACACACATGCTGGGTCCCCCTCAGATAAAAGAGGTAAAAAATAAAAATTAATTAAATAAATAAATAAATACCAGACAAAGCCTTAGAGATCTTCCTGAAGCGGTTTCTATCACCACAGTACTTATCGTAGGAACAAGGTAATTTGTGCCATGTCATTTTGGACATTCTCTTTCCACTCTTTCTCCTCCTTTTTCTCCGTTTTATGTTTGTGCTAGAGCATCAACTTTAAGTAAATAATTAATATGTCTCTTGATAGGTTAGGCAATTAACAATCCCTTGACACCTAACATTTTTAGTAGGTCTGATTTTCTTTTGATCCACATTTAAAGAGACATTACCCTAAAAGAAAGAGTTAATAGAAGATTTACTTTGATAGATTGCTGGTGGAGCTAACCCATATAAATAAGGATTGCCTGTGTTGTTACAGGCGTGTCAGAAACAGCAGTAAATTTCAGGCACCACGTTGAGTTTCAACATCTGTTTATGAACCAGTCCTTATACACAAAATGAACAGTTGCTACAGGACAAAGTATACAGAGAGTCTGAAACAAACTGGGATCCATTCAGAAAGCTCTCCCATCACAGTCATACCTGGTGCTACCTGGTCACCATGAGGATCGGGGAACACTGAAGAACTCTCCTTTGAGATAGACACATGCCCATCTTAATGTCCATTAACTACAGGTACAGGTTCATGGAAGGAATGTCAGAAGATGGAAGCTACAGGAGAACAGCTTTCTGTATATTTTGTGGGACATTCTCCCCCCTCACAAAACTTTTCACTGAATATTAAAAAAATCCTATTGTGCAGACCCTGCCTCACCCTCAGAAGAAGGAGCTCGCCTTGGAAAATGAGGATGGAAGAGAAGACAAGATCTTAAAAATGTCAAACTCCTGAATGAAACTTGGAGTTATTTCCTTCATCCTAAAGGTGTATTACATATGCATGAACACAAGTGGGTTTGGAGGTGGGGTTTTGTTTGCTTTTGGATTTATTTATTTATTTTGAATAAAACTAGCAAATCTTTGCACATCCTCAGGTAAGTTTCCCCAGGCAACCTATGCAGTACGAAAAGCCCCAAACCCCTCTTTCTCACTGACAAAAATTCCTTGCACACGGGTATTAGAGGCCATCGCAAGGCTCCCTTCCATGACCTCCCTCCCACACTAACACACACTGGCACGGGGAGCCTGGGGGTCCCGGTGGGGGCCCAGATGTGGGACTGTGAGCTGCCTGCACCCCCCAGGTAACACAGGGACAGGCGCTGAGGAATGCTTGCTGTTCCCAAACCTCCACTCAGCGAGAGCAGAAGGGCAGATACATACCACAGAGCACCAGCAAGTTCATAACTCAGGCTGACAAATCTGAGATAGCAGATAACTACACGAACCAAAATAAAATGGACAAACACGGGCTTTGACTTAGATTAGCAGCTCAGGAGACAACTTAAGGCTGAATGTGAGTAAACTGAGATACTAAAATACAACAAAATAAGCAAAGTTGCTCATTCTTGTTTCTCTCTCTAAAATCTAAGTATTACCTGAAGCCAGTTAATACTTAAAGACAAAATATAGAGCTTCCTCCATACACTTTAAAATTAAGGTAAAGACACGGTAGAACCTAGTTTTAACTATCCTGTCCATAGGACGATTGTTTCCTACACATACAGGGTCTAACAACCAGTAAATGTAACTTTGGTGCAGCACACTGCAATCATTATTGCTTCACCTATTTCTCTAAAGTCAGACGGTCAGAATCCTACCAGCAAAATTTAATTAAAGAAGGTAGTAAGAAAACAAACAGCCTTTCTTGGAATGTCTTTGATTCCAGTAAGCACAAATACATTTCATCCACTGAAAACTGAATTACAGCTTCTCATCTAATGAGCAGCTTAATGGAACGGCACTGGAATAAAGGAAGAAGGGAACAAAAACCCAAATCCTTGGTGATTTCATATAACACGTTATACAAGTATATAATACTGGGCTCGCTATCTGGGAACATCAATTTGCTACAACAGAAGTGTTTGCTATCTTAATGTAAGCAGGAGGCACAGCCAGGCACACCGAATCAATAACCAGACCTTACTGAAAGTGGCAGATGGGCCACCACAAAGCAGAAATGGCAGCACACACACGTAAAAGCGTTTGCCTTCTTTAGACGTGTTCTTGAAGGCACTGTACCAGTGACCTAAGATGATTTTTATATGCAGACGGCAGGTCAAGCATAAAAGTACACTATTGTAAAGGTTACAGTGCTGGCAAAAAAATCGTATCACCGCTATGGACAAAGAATCACTTTCTTTTGAAGTCTGAGCTGTCAGGATATTTACATTTCACAGTTAAAAGGCTCCTCTCTGGACAATATGAATGCTAAAACAAACAAGAGGAAAGGTCCTATGTAAGCTAATGCTACTTTAAAGAGATAATGTAAATCAACCCTGACATCATCAGTGTCATCCTAAAGCACGAGGAGAATTTCCAGTGAAAGTTACTAACATTAAACAGATTTAGATAGCCAGCCAACAAAAATAAAGCAAGCATATAAGTAGACTGCCTTCCAGTCCAAGACTGTTGTTTCAACCATGTATTACAGTGAAAGGGATAGGAGAAACGCTCCGGTGGTGAAAAGCATTTGTTTGGTGAGTCTGGAGGAAGAATTGGTCCAGAATAAATAATTTATAGTGTGAACTGGAAAAATACGTATGCAATTTGTAACTGCAAGTTAGCCAGAAAGCTGGACACAAAGCTAAACACTTAGAGAAATCTTACCCTTCAAACTGCACGGCTATATTCCCATATACAAAATATTAATGCCACCTTTTAGTTAAGAAGAATATTATAATGCTGAATTGATTAAGACTTTTATATATATGATATTACAGAAGAGAATTTTTTTTAAAGGATGCCCTTATGGAACAATAGGTTTAAATGAGTTCTGATACTTTTAAGCACTATATGTACTCAAGACTTCACGTTACATAGTTTTCTTTTCCTTCTTTGGTTGAGAACTCTTCTGGAATGTTATTGTTTTCAGGGGGTGGTTTTTAAGAAGTTCCCGTGAATACATGCATTATACATGTGCTCACTGAAACACTGCTGGGGCTGTAAATGACCCAAGAGTTCAGCAGTACAGCTATTTTCTTATCTGGTTCACATTTAGGCAAGAAAGCAATATTTGCACACTCTTTGCTGAATGGAGACCCAATTTCACAAGGGACAAGGGCCTTGCATGGGGCTTTCCACAACGTTTCACGTAAGCACGAGTTCAAAGAAGGTGACACTGTTTATAGCATGTCTTGTACCATGGGGGTCTGATCGGTGATGGCGTTCTCAGAAGCTAAAGCAGAAGAAACATACACCCTGAACTCCTGGCTTAATAAATAGATAAATAAATAAATAAATAAAATAAAAAATAAAATAAAAAAAATAAAAGGAAGAAGAGAACTGAAAGACAAAAAGCCCTTATGTGGTTTCAGCCTTGTCTTTCCTCAGAATTTAAGGCCCTAAGACCACAACCTCCTTTAATATCCCCCCAGCTTCAGTGAGACACAGTTACCCAGGGCTGCCACCATTGCTTAGCAAGTCAACAAGCTGGATCTGAAAGACTCCTAGCCATCTCTTTGCAAACGTTATTAAGGGAAGATTATTATCTGACCCTCCGAGAAGCCAGTAATTACAGTGTTCATGTGTACATTGCTTCTGCACAGGATCAACAATGAAAGGGTTGTTTAAACACAGCTCCTTTGCCTTGATGGAAAACTTTGTGTGTACCACTCATCAGCTCAAGTAAATGTTAATGACTATTTTGGAAAAATAAAAGCCAGAAACATTTTCTGATGTACCATAGCATACTTAGGCTGCTTGTGATGTAGGATGTTGCATTTTGAAACTGCAGAAGTAAGACCTTTAGCAGCAGTGAATATATGAACCCCGAATTTTATTTTTAAAAAGTGCTGGCGAATGTCTTAACCATTGCACACACACACACACACACACACACACACACACACACACTCTCAAACTACCACACTAGGCAAGATCAGAGCTTAACAGCCAACAAAACACACATTCAATCCCTGAGCTCATTTTCCTGAAATAGAAAACTACATATGTTTCTCAAATTTCACATCAAGCCACTGCACAGCCCGAACTGCAGGGGAGACCGGAGCCAAGCCTGCCTTTGGGCTTGGGGGAGTAAGGACCTGAAAACAAGATGATTCCTCCCCTATCACCGCACTTCTCGGCCACAATCTAAGCTTACAAACACCCCCGTTTAACAGCATTTCTAGCGGGGGTTGCTTATCAAGCAGTCTTTGCTTTGTCAAATTAAGACGCATTGCCTTGGATTAGTGAGACTCCCTGAGTTCAAAATGACTTCATGGTTGGCTCAGAGTTCACTGTCTCCGTGGCAGGGTGCCAGTAATACATCTACTACCGCGCCTGCCCCCAATCCTTTTCTATACTGACCTGGCTGACTCTTTTTTTTTCTTTTTTCTTTTTTTTTTTTTTTAAGCAGCAAAGGAACACAATAGAAAACTAAATGCTAGATGCCGTCGCAGCTAATTAAGGACCTTACATCTTTAAGAAAAATAATTGGAGTAGTAAATATTTGAAGATGTGAATTGAGATCTCTGAAACGCGACGTCTCGATGTATGTCAAAGCTGCTGCAGAGGGACAATGCAGGTTTTCTTCGCCCTGCAGATACAGTTAGACACTATGAAGGGCTCCTGTTCTTGTGGAAAACACATTAAGTTTCTCTTGCTAATATTTTGTAAAGGGCATTTGTACAACAACAATAGCTAAAGCTTCCTGTTTGCCTGTATGCTTCCTGGCTAACATTAACGAGACCTGCTAACAATTTTCTTATTTAGCACACAGAGCTCTTTCAGACGACTCTGACCCAAGGACATGCCGTTTTTAAATTAATCATTAAAAAGAAAATATCTAGCAGTAATGGCTCACATTGCACCTGCCCTTCACATTCCTGATCATTTTTGCAGCTACACACTTCCTATTTTCTTACACTGCATCAGTCTGTGTGTCACCAGTCTCCAAAGAACATGTTTTGAATTTATTAAAAGCCTGATAGAAGTGGAATTCTCTCTTGTTTGGCAAAGATACCATCGCAGGGACACTTGCTATTGGCTTCAGGACAGGAAATTCATGGTACTTTGTTTGTCCAATCTCAAAAACACCATCCCTCCCCTCCCTACCAGCCCTTCAAGATAATTCTCCCTTCTCCAGAGATTTCTCCAAACAAGTCTGCAAGTCTGAAGGCTTGGGTTTCATAAACAGGACATAAAACCCGAGTGCAAGTCAGGATACTGTCACCGTCACATGGACCGCAGTGCTGATCAGGAAACATTCCCTAGCCCCTCTCTTTCCAGAGAGAGGCCCTGATTTTCAGACTGGGCATCTTCTGAAGCTGGTACAAAATATAAACAAGAAGTCAAACACCAGAATCCCAGCCAAAGGGTATACATTAGTCACGGCCCGGCTAGGAAGGAAGGGAAGGGCAGCTGGCCCCAGGAATATGGTGTCTGCGCTGCTCCAGTTACCACGGCTCACTGACCAGGATTGCTCAATCCCTTAAAAAGACACAAGCATCCTTCAGATAATCATTTAACTTACATTAGCTTGTCTCTTCTACAGCACCTCTAAATATAAGCTCCTCTTCCAAATTCTCTCTCCTTTCGAAGTTTCTAGCCCATCTGGATAAAATGCTTGGTGGGGACTCCACTAATCACAGTGACAAAATCACTGTGAAAGGAAAAGTGATAAAACAAGGGGAAAAGAAGCAACCTCGTAGCAGTATATGTATGTATCAGTTTAACAGATGAAGAACAAAACATATGAATGAGTAAGAATCAAATCCTCAAAGGTATACAGTTGTCTAAACACCTCCAAAAATTCACTTCTACAAATCACACAGGGGACATGATAAAGCAGATCTGAATCGAGGTTCCTGGATTCAAAAGTACCTCCCTAGCTTTAATGTTTTACTGCAAGCTTCCAGCACTGCAGTTCAGCAATGGCCCATATTCTCCTCCTATTTATCCCAGCACGCTCTGCGTCAATCCCACTAACATCACGAGTTCTCTGGATTTAAATCAGTACAACAGAGCCATCCTTAGCCCTAACAATAAGCAAGTGGGAGGAGGTTATAAATAAACCTTTAGGACTTAATCACTGCTTAATGTAAAGAGTCAGCTATTTAAATGTACATAAACAAGACACCAGCCTCCTTCTCATAAATGAAGGAGAAGGAAAAAAATTGTCAAGGTATTTTCCCACTGAAAATATACTGTATATTAAAAAGATAACCTTCCCCACCCCCCCTATACACATAAATAGCCTAAAACTAGTTATGTGGTTCATGTTTTTTTGATTTTTTTTTTAAGAACTACAGCCATTTGTGTTTAAGTTTACAGCCTGCAATTACTATAACAGTGTGAACTTCTTTCCTATGAAACTGTTTTTCTCTGAAGAAACTCGTGATTCTGAGATCTATGTTGGATGTAGATAATTTACAAAAGATTTCCCAACAAAACATCTCTGCTAATATCATTTTCCCTGGAGTAAAGGCTAGCAGTTGAAGACTGAGTGGACAAATATTTCCACAGGAGAATCATTTGGGTCAATACTCATACATGAGATGAAGTCTCTACTAGTTAATAAATTACCTTCCCCAACTATTAACACATTTGGAGTATAACATTAAAAAAAAAAAGCTGACATATAAATGTCAGCTTGTCCTGACTTTTTTTTTCTGCAACTTTGGGAGTTTCTTTAAAAGAGTTCTACGTGTCTGACTTCTTCACTCATTCTGGTACTTCTCACTTAGGAACTATTTGCCAATGTTTTCTTTATAGGTACTGAATTGTTCTTCCTCATCCAGTGGCTTCTTGCATATTGGATACTCTCCACTTCAGTTACTGTCAAGGCCTGACATTCCTACCTGCGCTTCCAAAACCTCTACTCTCTTTTGATTACAGCTCATCTTGAACCATGTGAATCCAGTAAAGACTACCTAGTTTTCCAGGGAGCAAAATGCTTGTGATTGGAAGTGGCCTCAAGCAGAATGCTGGACCTCAATGCACGTGACCTTTTGAGAAATTTGTGTGTGAATTCTACCTGATGTAACAGCTTAGCCATAGTCTTCTCCACAGACTAATCCTTCATCAGACTTAGAAATACAGCAGAATTGTAGAAGTGCATCTCTGATACAAATCCTCCATCCACAACGCAGTAACTTCTAACTAAACCAGGTATGTATTTAGATATTATTAAGATAGCTTCATCCAAAATACCATATAAAGGAAAAGTTATCAGAGGTTATAGACGGTGGGTGGAAGAGAGCAGTGAGTCACACTCACCATGAGTAAAAGTGCTGAGCCTCTGAAAAGCACTGCTAACATGTCTGTGAAAAACCAGCTCTCTTCCTCTCCCCAGCAGCACTTCTGCAGTAAGACAACTGAGTACTCAAGTGGCCAAACCAATGCTCGTTGCTGCAGCCCTGGGGGGCAGGAAATGTTCCAAAGGTTAACTAGAGAGATGTCAGTAACACTTCTTAATGCAGACCAGCATCTGGATCGTTCAGAACAAGCACACGGTATTTCATCAACCCAACGGAGCAATAATATGAGTATTTTTAATAGGGAATATTGCAGGTGATCTTTTAAGACCAATGGGAATCATCAGTTTGGAACTCATCTTTTGCAGTTCATGGGTAGATGCTGTTCACTGAGACATACAGCAATTTCAAAGGGAGTAGGTAAAAATCTGAGTATGTTTGAGTGCCCATCTTTCAGGTAGAAAGCATTTAGTGCTTACTAGATATCCACTGGGAAAAAGTCCTTTGGCAACAAGACAGTTGAAGCCAGTAGAATCATCTGAAGGTGAAAAACAAATGATTTCATACTCCGAAACACTTATCAAGAACTGTCTTCAAATACTTCAAATCCTGATCACACACTACTTAACTTGTAGCACTGAGTAATCTCAGTGAAACCAAACAGGGTACATACAGTTTTTAAATGTTAAAAACATCCAAAATGTTTTAAACTGGCACTTCAAAATGTAAAGAAGCAAGAGTTATAGTTTCGATGCATGCAGAAGTCTCCTATAAAAGTGCCTCTGCAACTGCTTTGATCCTAGTAGAATACCCACCACCAAAACAGATTAAAAACTCTGTATCTTTTATCAGGGCCATGTAACGTGTGATTCACAATGACTAACACTGTGCCTTGCCCTGTGAATAGGCTCCTTTGTGCTCAAGGGGAGAAAAGGTGGTAAGAATCTTACACTTGTTAATTCCCACTTCCACAGAATTATGAACATATGCGGGATGAATTACTTCACTTCACCAAACTACATGGAAATTCTCAAGAAACAGGTGTGCACAGGGGAGAGCAGAGGATGGAAAAAAAAAAGTAGGTTTAATTCCAACAAAATATTTCTTGTCCTTATTTTCCTATTTCTCCCTCCTTTGTTACCATATAAGACATTCCACTAGAGCCAAAACAATCAGTTTAATGTGGGGGAGCACACATTAAAGCAGCACAGGAGGATGTGCAAGGAACTACTTCACCCAAAATATAAAAAGGTTGAACCAGAGGGAGTGATGAAAAACAAAAACAAACACACACATACCACTTTCTCCAGAAAGTCTTTTCCCTACATTCCTCTCTCCCGTACAACATTCATCAATACCGTCAAAAACTTCTGGACTAATCAAAATGGCATTTCCAAGGAAATAGACTCACCACTAATAATTCAGTCAGCTCTAATCTGGAGTACAACCTTCTGCAGTACTTTTTTTTTTTTTTTTATTTGAGAAGAGATTTTTCTGCCTCACCCCCCCAGAAAGCTGCTGCTAAGAACACAGACCCAAAGCGAGGAGGGACCAAGGAGCTGGAGTTACCCACGAGCGCTCCCTTCCAGATCTACTTTCAGAGCAAGAGCACCTGAGCTTCACTGAGATCTGAGTGCCAGAGATCTCCCCCAAAACTCACAAATTAACCCTGTCCCTTAACTGAAGGCATCCATAAGGGACAGTGGACAATAACTCTGTTACCATTGCTCTAAGCTCCCATGTACCCCTTCCTAACTTCTTTTTAAAGCCTCCTGCCATAAACTACAGAGGAGGCATGAAAATTTTCATCCCAAGAATTCAGGCTGTACTCCTGTACAGGTTAAACTAGCACTATAGAATAAAGTCTTTAGTTTGTAAGATCTATTTGCTCCATCCCAAGTTCCCAGGAGGAATTAGGGTCCTGCAGTGCTGGGCATTGACAACTTACCCAAGAAATCCCCTGCTCTTCCCCAAAGACCTCCCAGAATTTACAACCACTGACAGGTACATGCAGCAAACAGATGACAAATACTACGCTGGAATAGCAAACACCAGGCATGGCACACCAACTGTGTAATTCTAGCAAGAGTTTTGCAAAAAACACAGCAGGTGGGAATTTTCAGGAATACATAAAAGGCAGATGATAAACAGCTTCACTGTCCTGAGCACAGTTATCCTCTTCTCCATCCAGACTCCCCAGTGCTGCAGCATCCGTTGTTAGCAGCGAGCCCTCACTTCTGCAATTCAGAGAGCTGCCCTGCCAAGCATAACTCCTGTACTTTGATATAACCATTCATTTCCCAACAGCTAAAGAATTAGCCATAGTAACAGCTACATCTTTAAGGCTGCAGGAAGGCACTGCTCTTCTTTTCCATCAGCTCTCGCACTAGTTGGAGACTAAGAGAGATGGAGAGAGAAAGAGAGAACAGAGAGGGGGATTTCTTTTATACATTAAAGCTGCCACCATTAAACCCAAGACGGACAGGACTGCATTCCGTTTTGGCTTTTTTGGCTATCAGCACAAGGTGATCATTTCTTGATTTGCCCACACATTTCATCCCATCTATTAATCTCCATCTGGCCACAAGGCCAAACTGAAGCTGTGTTTGGAACAGCATTCTAACCAGTGTCCTAGCCAGGTGCAATACGATGCTCCTACCACATGTAGGAGCAGATAAAAATGTTTCCTCCATGTTCTACTAAACAGAATTATTACAAGACAAATGGCAAAACTCTGTAGCTACATACAAGTGATATTTAGGCATACCTATATTCCAGGTCATCATATCCTCCAACTACCTCAAAAAGGATCTCTTTAGGACAGGAAACCAGTTTTCTCCCACACAATTGTGCCAAAATTTGAGAAGCACTTGATCTGCAGCACCCTTAAATTGTTTATAGAAAAGAGGCAGTTGCCTTTCTCCGCCTAGTCCCCTGAGCACAGGGTGCTAGTTTTAAATCAAAGTCTCGAGTGTTTTCACAGTACAGAGGCCCTGCATGGCACATCCTCTGGGAGCCTGGGATTTATCCTCCTGAAATTAGAGTTGGGTCAGGTGAGAAGTCAGCCGAGATTGCAAGATCTTTGGGGTGAGAGTTGTTCCCTTGTTACATAGTTCACAGCCACACAGCACAGGAATCTGACTAAACTTGAGATACTATCTTTCAACTGAAAGCTACCAAGATCTTACAAAAACATTGCTTTTTTTTTTTTTTTTTTTTTTTTTAATAAGCTAAACTTGCACTTTCCTGCTATATAATGCAAAATATTTAACAATAGGTGTCTATTATGGAGACTGACTAGGGAGAAAGAAAGCACTCAAACAAAAAGAACTGTGCTTGATGTGCAGGCATCTTCCACTTCAGGAGCCTAAAGTTAGCCTGTAACCACTTGTCGTTTTAGACTAGTTTTTTGCACAGTTACAACTCTGTAAACTGTGATGGAAATACCTGTGACCTGCACAGAGCTGGGTGTGGAACTGGGCCATAAGACTTTATTTAATTATTTTCTTAACCGATTAACACTTTACCTCACTTTTCACATGGACTTATTTATCTGCAAATACATCATTTGTAGTGAAGTCACTTTAATCAAGACTAAAGGGCTTCTCTCAAAAGGTACTGATAAATGGATAAAAAGATGCTTTGGAGAGCAATACAGCTGCCACATTTTACACTGAAGCAACCATTTTTAGAAAGGTTTTACCAGATGCCTACCATACAAGCAAAGTATTTTGTTTCAATTCTCAAAAAGTCAATAAATTTGTCAACAAAAGCAGATTTCAAAGCATTATTAGATGCATATTTTACAGTAACTAGAGCAATCATATTTATGTTCCAAAATGGGGTATAAGACCAATTAACCAACAGTTGTAGCAACATACTCTATCTGTGAATTACACTGCTCACAGGAACAACTGTGTTCAGGAATGCACAATGGAAGCAGGAGATAGGTTCAAGATGTTTTGGGGCAGACAATTACAGACAGATGTATATAACAGCATGTCCAGTCAAACTGAATTAAAGCAGGAACATACATAAGAAAATAGACTAAGGCGACCAAATCATAATGTTATAATTAACATACCTTGCAGTAACACCTGTGGCTTTCCAAGATAAGAAATCTGGAAGATCAAAGAAGTAGCCTGCCTTCTCCCAGCATGATTCTTGCAAGTTCTAACAAAAAAAAATAGAAACATAGATATTAGAGGCCAGACACGATCATGTCCTTATTTTAACAAAATTAATAAACCTGCCAGTTGTGTAAAAATGACAATCTTTCCAAACCCAGTGTTCTGATCTCTCCCTAGATTCCTGCTCTGCTCACTTTGCAGCAATTCACTGCCTGAAGAACTGAGTCCTTCCCCACCAGGGACAGATCATAAGAAACGAGTTTCCCAAGAAGACTTCATGGAGGCACATGTTTCAGATCAATAACGTGGGCTCTTTCAGTTCCCAGTCAGCTGCTTAATGTCAGAGCAGTCTCAAAATCAGTAGACAATTTACTCAAAAAAATACTTCCTTGAAGAATGCTCTACTTTCTAAAACTAACCATTTTATATTTGTTACTTCTGAGCTCTAAGTACAGAAAAAAAAAGAAAAAAGCACAAATACCTATGTGAGCACCAGAACAAACCTTTCCAATCTATCTGGCCAATTGATCAAAGCTTGCAAGGACCTGTAAGCTTCCAGGGAAGCTGGTTTTCCCCACAGCTGGGACATTCAACTCAACTCATTCAATTCAGAATCTCTCAACCGAATGGATGAACCGATAACAATCAGCTTCAACGCCACACTACAACCTTACAGTTGCCATCGAAGCATCCACATAAATTCACACTAACAACCAATAAAAGTGTGTAAACTCTGCCTCTCTTTTGTAAACTTTGGTTGAAATGAGTACCAAAATACAAAGTGGTGGGTTCCCAGTTGAACAGAGGTCCAATGCTACTTCTCCAATTGACAGAGTAAGTGAAGATGATTGCAGACGACAATAAGCAGAACTATCCCCATAAGCTCCCAATAGCCACATGACATTCCAAGCTCCTAAAGAACTTCTGCCAAGAGAGATCATCTACACAGAGTTTGGTGCAGGTATCACAGGATGATCAATGGCAAGGAAGTTCCCCAAAGAGTAACGTCCCATGGCAGAGCAGCTTTGCCCTGTCCTGCACCACCACAGTAACACCCAGTGACCGCCTTGGTGTATTGAGATAACTTGGAAATACCAAAAAAAAAACAAAGGCAGTGCTGCCAGCCAGCAAGGTTGACAAATCAGACTTCCACAGAAAGAGAAGATTGCTTTAAAAAATCTCCACTGCCTTTTTAAATAACTGAAACAATGACAAGTTGGCTCACTAAGATCACCACATCCTAGCTGGGGTCTTTTGGACACAGAGCCCTGCCAGTTTCAACAAAAAACAGAATTTAGGTCAACAGTCGCATCTAGCAAGCTACAGTGGAGCTAGAGGGGTACTTCAGAAATGCGTAAGATTGAAAATTACGTGGGTCTTTATCTATACGCAAGAAATCTGCGGGATGATTTATTTGCCTTATTGTCTTTTAGCTTTCAGGTCCTACTGTTTTCATCTACTCTCCATCAGTTCAGGACAAAAGTCTTGTGCAAGATTCCAGATGCAAAGCATTTTTTTTTTTAAAGTGAAAGTATTAAACACTAAGAGCCTCAGTAGCACAAGCTACTGAGCTACAAAACAAAAACCAAACAGCCCTGTAAGAATCTGTGGTAAACGGCTGAATAAGTGGCTAAACTATTTTAGTGAAGCTTCTAATAGCTTTGTTATTATGATTTTATTTTCAAGGCTTTTTTTTTTTTTTTTCCAAATTATTCAATGAATTGTCAATAAGTAGTATGAAAAATTAAATTCCTTGCATTATCAAAGCTGACATCAATTTTCTGTAGTGAAAATGAAGGTACATGATGAATTGAAATAAAAGGTAATTCAATTTTAAGAAATACAATTCGCTTTTAACTTAGCTCAGATACTAAGCTATTTCAAACCAAAATCTTATAAATTCCAGAAAGTTACTAAAATGGAATCTATGAATTCCATTATAAAAACCAAATTAGTAGGTACAAAAATGCATAATTTTGTTTTGTTTTGGATCATGAAAAGAATCTATCTTCTTTCAGTTTAGCTCTTCAAAAGCTTCTCTAATTTACTGGCTTCATACTGAATTCAAAAAAAAAAAAAAAAAAAAAAGAATGATCCAGTTGCAAACTTTTAACACAAACCATACAAGCATTGGATGCCTGTTCCAAATCACTTGGGTTTAGCTTATCTGCCAGATGTATGTTGCTGCTGTTCACATCAAAATTTGACTTTTTACGTGAATGCACAGGTGCTCCCAAGGTTAGTACACAGGTCATTCAGCCTCTTTTGATCATATAAACCATTATGTATTGGTAAATAGTCTTTAAGTAACAACAGAAGTAGATCGGCCTTTAATGTTAATCATAAAAGAAAACAGATTAAGAATAACTGTCCACTTCAAGCAAATCTGTTTTATCAAAGATGTTCCCTGGATCTTTATTCTACTGCTTCAGGAATTCCCAAAAGCCACATGTTAGTGACACTGAAGTATTTTGTTTCATGAACATCCAAATGATTCATTCTTTGCCATCTCGATGCTTTGTCATCACTAATTAACACAGACAAAAAAAATGGCATGTCCTGATGCTTTTTCCAAACAAACTGAAAAGTCTCCACGTTTTCGACACTCACTGAAGTTAATTCTAATTTATTTTCACTCACAGTCAGAAATCTGTGACCACATTAAAAGCACTGTGGAAAAGATCCAGGAACGTTCCCAGTGCTGTATTCATATCCTGCGACTCACCCTCCAAACTCACTTGTAAAGAAACTAATTCAATCCTTCTATTTTTGAGAGGTTCTCATGGATTCCTCTTTCTTCACTGCCATATTTGAAATAATAAAAATGAACAAGCAAACAAAAACCTACATCTCTAAACAATAACTTTTTGAAATCCTCGTAGATAATCTTGAATATCTGTGGAAGTTTAAGAATTGCAAAGTATGGTGTATTTAAATATTCCTAGACAAGAAGGATAAAAGCAGAGTGAGGCAGAACTGCTATGTAGGGCTGGGAAGGTCTTCACTGTCCAGTCCTGGACAAAAGTCCAAAGATCACGACGAAGCCATACTGCACAATTCAGTATTGTGTTACATGTATTTGTTCACTTCTTCACTGGACTGAAAATACAGACACAAGCAGAATTTCACCTGAGCTCCAGTATCCAACCATTTTCTGGAGATACCTCCAGGAACATAGAAAGGAACTTTCACAATTGCATTTGACTGGTTGGTTGAGGTAGTCTATTTCTGATTTCTACTTTTACAGGGTACTTTATTTTCTTGTAAAAAGAAGTAATCTTCAGATATCTAGTGTCAGTGAAAAAACTTTTTTCCCCCACCAGAAGTAAAATATTGAAACACTGAAGCTCTGCAGACTTTCATTATTGCTAACACAGATTAATATGAATCAAAAGAACTTAAATGTTATTACAGACAGCCTTTGCATCTGAACCCTGTTGACCACAGGAATAACTTAAGATGGGCTAGAAGCAAAACATGATTTACTACAGGGCATTGGTCTGTATTTCATGGTTATTTGTAAGTCAAAACCCACAAATTCAAAAATCATCCCTAACTGGTTTGTTAGAAACCTAGATTAAAAGGAGGGGGACAAAAAAAGAGGTTTTTACAGTTTAGTGTAACAAAGAAAGCTGGCATGGACATTCCAGATCCATATCAGGTCAAGATTTAAGTCATCTGAAAAATCAGAGAAGAAGACATTCACTGAAGAACAGCCTGCTTTTACCAATTCAACCCAAAATTTGAAACGAAATCTCCCAGGCAATCTGTAACAGTAGGCTATGTAGTGTGTCAGTCTCTCTTCTTCTCAGTTACAGAAAACAAATATGCATTGTGTCAAGGAAGAAAAAGAACGACTGAAGACAATGCACACACTCATGAGGATATAAGAAACTGATGTCCCACACCCTACTCCAATACAGACCAAGCAAGAACTTGGGGCTTGGATCTCCCACACCTCAGATCAGACACCAAACCATGCCATAAAGCTATTCTGATACCCAAGATAAGCTCTAGGCAGAAATACCATCCCTGACAGAGCCAAGGCAAACCGATCAGTTTGGTAACTACCAGTTGCACTCAAAGTAATTGGTAAAAACTGAATTATCAGATTCATCTTAAGGCTGGAAGTGTGTCTTGGGGGTGTGAGGCCACCTTGGAAAGTAACCTGCTGGGTGTATGGCTGGGTGACAGACACTCAGAGGTGCAGGTGTTTCAAACCTTCCAGCTGTTAAACCTTTTTTTTTTTTTTTTTTTTTTAAGTGCTACTCCTGCTTGATTAGCAACAGCAACTAAAAGCCAAACTCAACAGTCCAAAGTACAACCTAAGCAACTATGTCTAAATTACGTATGGATCTTGATAACTAAAAGCTGTTAAAGCATTTATAAACAAACCTTATCGAGTTTGGTTCCAAACCCAGCAGCTTGGATCCATTTTCACTGAACATGGAGTTTGAGGGGTTTTTAAATGGTAAAATCTTACAAGTAGCATTGAACAACAACAACAACAACAAAAAAAAACAATTGCAAAAGGCATCAAGGGAGAAGACACGCATGAATGTTGCTGCCAAGCAAATGCCAGTACATCAGCTATTTTTCTCTCATCCCTAGCCCTGGAAAGAGATGTTTTAATTGTTTCTGCAAATTATCCCATTGGCTGTTAAGTTGCGGGTATGCAGGAAAAAAAAAAAAAAAGAGAACAATAATGCATAAAAAGGCATCTGTAACTGAAGATATTAAGGATGTTAACCAGTAACATACAGAATGATCACTGAACAATGTGCCAGAAAAAAATATGAAGAAAATAACTAGAGAACTATCAATTTTAATGATTAATTGCACAGGAATTATATGCTAACCATTTGTTTTTTGTTTTTGCTAAAGGGAGGCTCTTCTTTGCTTTTACTCACCATAGTTAAAAATGAGGTGTGAAAGCACACTATAGGAAGACTACACGGCATCTGGGGACTACCAAGCAAATACCTATTCCCAGTTCAGCATCCCCCACCCATTTGGAATATGCTACAGCACCTCTGATTTAATGGGACAAATATTTTTTAGAAATGGTTGATTCGTAATGTCATTAGTACGATGAAAATGTAACAAGCATCCTCCTGTTCTGGCACTGGCTGCAGTAAAATTTCCAGCCAAAAATTAGTAAACAAGATTCTTTCTTTGCTACCTCTGGGAAAAAATGCTAACAAGCTAATTCTAGAGCTGGAGAAATAACCAACACAGCTTTTATGGTGCTCTGTTTAAGTTATGTCCTCACTACTGTACTGTTGGTTTGCCACACCATAGATCAAAGACGCTGTATAGCCACATATGAACTGACATGCATCTGCAAAAGAATCTCCAAGTTAAGGAGATGTACCTACATGTTCAGTTCATAGCACAAATTTACCCACCAGAACTGTCTGTGGTCTCCTTCTGTCAGTGAACATGCAATTTCTCTAGCCAAAGTCAATAAAACAGAACAACTGGCTGTAGCAAAGCTGAAAACAAAAGTGTACCTGCAACTACAGAGGGGCAAAAAATAAAAACAAAAACAAACAAAAAAGCACTATTGGCAATAACATTTTGCAAGACAATTCTAAACAATAAAGACATCCAAGAAATCATTGCTAGAAGAGAGAATTTAATTGGTTATTTTGAAAGACCCAGTAACTAAAGGCTATGTTATTTTTAATTGAAGTTTACATTCAAACTTATCTTATTGACTTCAGGAAGACTTTGTCAGAATTATCTTTCAGCTGGTTTCTAAATATTTGTGAAAAGATAATGACTGTTTTTTTCAGTTTCACCTACAGCTGAATGTTGTTAATTCAGCTGACCACATGCCATGCTGAAATGTGACCGTATCCATAGAAATTAGGTTTTAGAAAGTCACATATTCGTTTTGGTTTATATTTCAGGTTTAACACTGGACCCTATCACCACACATGGTCCCACACAGGCAAAGAAATAAAATGTTGTTCCTAAGCCACAGATATGCACGCTCCAACAAGATGGTTCCACAGGCTATACAGTAGCTGCATTCAATTGATCATTTACTGCAAAGAGCAGTCACCTACATGCAAACTTCACAGGCAGTGGTGGCTTTGTCATATAAATACCCATCTGCAACCACAAAGGCCAAGACCATCCAAGTAATTTCATGCAGACTAGCCAGTAGGTGCCACCGGGTAAAATGATTCAGCAGTAATGAACTGAACGTAAGCCAAGACAATTCAAACAAAAGATCTCAAAGACCTATTAGGGCCTCTGCATTTGGTTTCGTAATCTAAAATCAAAATGGAATACAGTGAAAGAGCTGGATGAACAGAACATGCTCTTAAGCCTCTACTTTCTAGTTAAGTCTTTATTCTCTGTACAGTGGAAATGTAAAAAGATGAAAAGAAATATACAAGATAAAATATTCTATGGAAAGTCAAAAAGGAGCTGATGAGAATGACTTGTGATTTGGAAGAAAAACTGCAACATCCTTCCACAAATAAATACAAGTCATGTACAACAGGAAAGTCATAAGAGATAATGCCCAGCATTTACTTCTCGTACAATGAAATCAGCTCCTTCCTCACGATGAGTGAGGTCATCTTCAACTTCAATTCTAGTAAGAAAAAGATGACGGAAATGGAAAAGCACAGTTAGGTCACCTTAGCCCTCTCCCTCTTCTCCTCCCTCTTCATTACCTCCAATAATTCAGAGTAAATTTGATAAGCTGTATTCTTTAGTAATACCTATAATTGTTTAAATGAAAATTCTTCAAGTAATGGAAATTCAATTTCCAGAAACATGATGCCTACCAAAGGGACAAAGGTCTTACAAAGCTTCAGAATACACCTCAGTTTAGTCAACATAAGCTCCCCTTTCACTAGACTGAGTAAAAATCTTTTGCTATATCACTTAAGTAAATTGTCTTCGGAAGTTCCCAAAGTCAGTTTTGATTATGGCCAGTCACATTAGAATACGCCAATCCATTCTTGCATTCAGAAATGTATAAAGAAGGAAAGGAAAAAAAAAATCACGATGGTCTATGGTCTCCTGACATCCTGGCTTGAAGTTCTGGTTCCCTCTTCTCTAAGTCTATTGGGGAAAAAGGTTTTTTATTATTTCACTTTTTATTATTTACATACGGCAACTTACATTTGATACTCATGCCTCAGGAAGCAAAGTTCTAGGAGACTGATATTAGTATTTCTGTGTAGCATTTACAAACAGCATTTATTATCCTTTGTGACCATTAATCTGCCAGTACCTGCTTCTACCAATTGACTCCTTCGATTTTCCCCAGCCTGCACCTTATTATATACAGTTTAGTGTGTTATTATAGGACATTTGTAAGGACAAGAGACTTCAGCTGCTTGAAACTGTCAGAAAGTAATTCACATTTGGGCTTTGTTGAAATGACAGCCAGCATTGAGACCAAATGTAAAAGCCAGACTGGAAGAGGTTATGAAAAATTCAAGTGGCAAGCATTTTTCCTTTTATCTGACAGTTACTATTAAAAAGCTGTATGTCATCCTGTAACACACAAAATTTAAGCATGAGACAGAAACAGAGTTCTACATTATGAACAGAGTACCTTCCTTCTACAGATGGTCTACTTCCTACAGGCAGTACTGAACTAAATTGTTCAGTCCTTTTTTTTTGGAAGGTTGACGGAGCTCTAACCGAACCATTTCTATACCATTTCTATACCAGTAGCCAAAGACATCACACAGCCCCTCACTGCTGGATGCATTACCTCAAAGGCAGGACATTGAGCAAGGATACCCAGTGTCGAGACAGTGCTGTATACACATTGCTATAAATCCATCCCAGAAGCAGAACCTGCGCCCCTGTAAGCATGTCCAGCTACAGTATTTGAAGCAGAAAGAACAGTATATCACCTGCACCTAAATTCCTATGTATACCTGACCTTGAAATTATGTAAGAAAGGCATATGAAATGTTTCAGTGGGAAAAAACTGAATCTCTATAAGATTAAAGATATTTCTAAATAATTGAGAGGGAAAAAAAAAAAAAAAAAAAGAATCTCAAAGCATTGGAGATGTTGCTAGCCTTACTTTGCACACCTTTGGGTTGAAGAATTTTGCACACCACTAAGGTTGAAGAATTTTCCTTATGGACCTCGTTCTCAGAAATCAGCAGAGTTTTAATTATTACTAGAAATACATCACAATCTTAGAGGTACTCACTTCCTTTATCCACAACAGTTTAGGTGGCTGCATTTCCACAGACATCACTCCCCCAACGTAGCTCAAAACCCTGTGTTTCGTTGCATTGATGTGGTCTACTTGACTGACTGCACGATGGTCCATCCACATAATAACATTCCTATAGTTTTGTCCTTTAAAAAAATAAAATAAAATAGAGATTGTTTTAGGGCTGGTAGAACTCCACCTAAGTTCTGTAAGTTACTATGCTCTAAACTGCTTCACTTTTTCATGGAAAACTCAAATACTACTTGCTTAAACAATTGACAGTAGGTGTCTAAAGATAAAACTCTGCCCAATTTTAAGACATGCTGAGCACTGAGAATGCTGGGTGAAACCAGTCAGGCTTGTGAGCACCCAACAACTTGGAGAAGCCATGCTCTTGTAGAGTGTCTTTCATCCAAAGCCACTTTTTTTGCAGAGTGCATATATATTTAAAAGCATAAAGAAGCATTCTGGTGACTGAGAATTAAAAATATGACAAAATCTGACAAATTAAATTATAAATTGAAATTAACCAGTCAGCCAGAGTGGCAAAGATTCTTTTTCCTCTTCTATTGTCATGAGAAAACTACCCTAAATCCTTTCAGAAGTACTTTCATGGGGGTAATTTGCTGCAATAATTTTATTTTGGATGTGAAAGGCAAAAGCATTTGGCGAGTCTGTGTCACACATATCAACAAGAAACAAGAAACATTTTATTTAAATTAACCTGCAAAGGCCATGCTAGACAGGTGGAACAGTAATCCAAGTGACACTTCACATTACTCTCATGCTGAGCACACTGCACACTCAACTTCATGACACAGCCACTCATGCATATTTCATCTTGAAAACATACTCCAAGACAAGCCAGCTCTATGAGGCACACCAATATTCCTAACATGGATCCAAATTCAAGCTTAGATCTGCAAGACTGCTTGAAGTCAGACCAGTGCACACTCAGTGTGACAGTATTCTGTCCATTCCTGTCTTTTTATTTAACAACAACATTGTGTGAAGTCAAAGTTCTTGTCTTGTGTATCAGAGAATAAAAAACAAGAACTGAATTTGACTCAACAGACCAAAATAGCCCCAGACATCATTACACATTGAACAGATTGTCAAAAACTCTCAAACTGAAAAATAAATAATCTTGCTTAAATTTAGCAAAGGACATTTCGGGGGCAATGCTGGCTTTTTTTTTCTTTTTTTTGATTTGGCTTGCTTTTTTTGAGAAAGATAGGAGGAGATGACAAATATATCTGAGGTAGAAGGTGAACATCAACAGAATTGTGATTACGGCTGTGTACGTACTGATTTAGCACACACCTTATCTTAAAGAGGATTCTGCAAAAACAAACAAAAACCCCAAATTTTTCTTAAGTCTTTCAAAATATCTACTTTAAAAATCTACTTTTGCAGTAGAATTAAAGGAATAAAAACAGAAAAAAGTCTTTTAATAGAAAAGACATTCTGCCTTCAAGATTCAACCCCATGACCCTGCCTTTGGATGAAACCAAGTTCAATTGCATTGCTACTAACACCAACTTCTGTGCTGGAGTCCTACCTTCAGAGTTGACTGCCAAAGGTTGGAACTGCTTATCCACAACAACAAGGGAACATGTAGCATCAAAGCCAACCCCTCGAATCTGGCTGGCATCTATGCCACAGACGACTTTCTGCAAATATATAAAACACACTTATATACAAATATATCCATATACATGAGAGTACCATGTGAACCGATGACCACAGAAAGCGAGTTAAAGTTTAAATTACAAGCTCAAACTCCAAAAATTTAGAGATTAAGCTCCATTAAAAGCTCTTTAATAGCTTTAAAATCTTACTAGCCACAGCCCTGGATGAAAGCAGGAAGCACAACAATTTCAGAAAATAAAACTAGCAGAAAATTAGAACTGCTAATTTTATCTCTTTTATAAGAGTTTTGAGTTAAGCTCCATGTGAAACCTGGACAGAGGGTTAGGGCTAAGCGCTTCCATCAGTTACTTCACTCAGTTACCACCTGTGAATTGAATCATCTTCTAGAACTGCTCTGGTAATACTGTGCCACAGCTTTTTGCCCTACAATGGTGAAGGGCTCCAAAAATAAATTTCTGTCAAGTTGGTTAAAACCTGTAGCAGTAATAACTCTGTAATGCACTCCTTTTCAAAAACTCTGCTATTAATTCACGGCTTCCAGCAGCACTGGGAAAAAAAGGAAGTACAACACCCAAATGGATCAAGTGCCAAGTGAGGTTGCAAGACACCTAAAATGTAACACAGTAATAAATTGCCACTTCTCAGCAACAATAAAAATATCATTACCTTAATTAGTACTATAATGACACTAGACTTGCTGCAGTGCCAGTGTCTTACTGGCTCTGTAAAGCTATAGTTCCAGAGACCGTATTTCATTGCTTAATTCCATAGATTGTATTTAAGAGCAAGAACAAAGCAATTCACAATAAGAAAAATCAAATAAGCAGAATAAAAGACTTGCTCTGCTCTAACATCCATCTGCCCTTCCCTCCCCTATCACTCCTGTCACACTGCTCCTTCCCTTCCCTTCCCCTCACCTCGTCTCCTTCATCTCAGGGCATTTCTGCCGAGCCAAGCTCATTAATGTTTGAAAAGGCTGATCAATACCAAGAGAATGGGCGAACTGTCCATCTGCAAATTACCAAGCATATCATGAATATTTAAAAAAACAACCTTAGATCATGGAGCAGGCTGGGGCTTTATTAAGAGCCATAAAATGGCTCACATGTACGCTGCAAAACAAGGTCAGTAATTTACTTTTACCACCAGCACATACAGGCTTGGATCAGAGGGTCCAAGGAGATTTTCCTGCATAGTAAGGTTTATTTCAGTCTGTTTTTATGCTGAATGCCATCCACAAACACATATAATTTATTTTGGCTTTATAACACTGGACAGGCATCACATGTGATAGACGGTCTCCCTCAGAGCACCATCCACAAACCCAACTGCAACTTCTCTACAATAAATAAATGAGCTTGTGACTCCAGTGCAACACAGTGTGTGCCTCTAAATGTATGCATTATCAGGTTCTGAGCAACCTTGTGTCCTCTAAAGAATTGTCTTGTGGCTAGAACATAACACCAGTGAATCAAAAAACCCTGATGTGAATCCTGAAGGCAGTGGGTACATCCTTCCTCAGAGCTAACAGCACAAAGGAAGGGCTTTCATCCTCTTTTTAACTGTATCACCCTGGCTTTCAGCTCCTCACCTACATAACTGATGTGAGGCTACAAGAGCCATACCCTAAAAGTGCCTTTAATGCCTAAGGGTGGTTACAAGTTAAACGGTAACACAGCACCTACAGGATTGGATGTTAAAGGCCAGTGACTGGAAGACTTCGAACTCTCATAACTTGAAGTGCTGCCTACAAGACAGATCTCCTTCACTTTCTTTTTCTTCAGATACCTTGGTGACTGTGCAACAGGCAGCCCAAATGTCAGCAGAGGATTGCTCGTAGTGGTCTGGCTGGGGTTCCCAGATTTGGATTGGCTGCTCTGCATGTGCCACTACTGTCCCAAACTCGTCCACCAAAGCTGCACGAACGCTTGCTGATCCAACATCAATTCCAACGTAGTATTTTACTGAAGTTTGCTTCTTGCTGTGCATTTTTAATAAAACCTGTGAGGAAAAAAGAAACACACCAAAAAAAGTGTTTAAAAACAGATAAAATGACTATGTACTGAACAGGACAGGAGAGATGCTGTACAAGTGCTTTGTTTGGTATCTTTTTTAGCAAATCTTCATGTGACATTTTTAAATGACTTTGAGTTTTCAAGTCTTGCACTACGTGTACTGTTTTATCTCAAATGTTTGCAGATATGCTGCATGGCGTAGAAGTTCCTGAAAAGCAAAATGTAAATTCACTTGTAAGAACACAAGTGCTGTGATAAAATTCATGCACTTACACAATCAAGGAATTGAGTAGTGGCCATACAGTACCACCTCTACATAAAGGGAAGTAGAAGGAAGGAGACGGTAAGCAAAGGAAAAATTATGGATTCAAACTCAACGCTCATCAGGAGCTGGTGCCTTACACAGAAGGGGAAGTTCAATCCAGAGATTCCTGGGTTTTCCTGAATTCTGGCAGATGGGGAAGCTGCTAATAACTTGTCCACAAGTGAATCCAATTGACAAGACTGGAAGTAACACCAGGGACATGTCATTGCCTTCATGCAAACAAATTATACCCCTGAACTGGTTAAAAAAAAAAAAAAAAAAAAAAAAAAGGGTTGCGTGCCTGGCTGCACTGAACCCCAAACTGAAGAGGAATGAGGAGCCAGGAGCTGGTGCCTCCTATAGAGCCAACAAACATGACAGTGAGTCAGGCTGAATTCTGCAGAATCTGAAAACGGTTTCCTCCTCCCCCCAAAAGTGGTGTCATGTTGGTAATTAAAATAACTAAGTGACATATTACCTACTTTTGAGCCCTACAAAGAAAAAAAAAAAGAAAAAAGAAAAAAAAAAGGAGAAATTAACTGCTTAGGTTTTTAAGATCTATCTACCGTGACTCCGCACCATTTTAGACATTCAGAGAATAATTTGCTGAAATTATTTTGTTGAGTTACAGGAGTATCCCAGGAAATCTGTGCCTGCTCTCTCACAACCTACAAGAACAAAGTGAGTTCAAGTTAATCAGTTTAATTATTCATAACAAGTTGCTTGCTTCACTATATTATGCTTAAATAGATGACATTTTATATAGTGACAAATGCACTGTACTTAATTTCTCAGTTTGTCCTTAATTAATAGTTAACATTTACATCTAATCAAGCTGGGAAAATGCTAATTAAGAGCTGATACAACGTACTTCATAGGTCAGACAAGTGCTTACATGAATCTCCTATCAAGCCTCTGAAACATGCAGAACTCAGCTGACACTTAAGTCTCTGACTTCCAGAAAATGAAAGGATCAATTATCATTTGATGAATCCATTTAGAGAGCACCGAAAGGGCTCTGTAAAAAAACACTCCATCTATCCCAAAGAAGTGACCCGGATTACATCTGTGTGGGGAAGATGGGTTGTTTAGGAACGTGGGCAGAGGCAGAAAGATTGGAAAAATATTGCTTAGTAGAACAACAGGATATTCGCATTTCAAATTAATCCTGTGCATGATTTTTGGAAATAACTAACTTCAGTGCCAAAGTATACCCCAAATGCAATAGCAAGCACTGAAACCCAGAACTCTGAAAGCCCTCTTTCTACCTTTACACAATAACAGCTGATTGTATAGCCATGTAAATTATACTCCATTTTGGAAGCAATGCTTTTTACTTGCTTTACTCCTACAAAATGGGAAACCAGATCCCTATTTTCCTATGAATTATCTTCAGTACAGGTCAAGCTCTATCCTTGGGTGTCAGTTTGAATACAGGGCTGGAACAACCCAAGTGGCTGTTCACATCTATGGCTGGCTTCTAGCCACTGCTGTTGATGGCTACTACAAATCTGTTATCACTGAGGGTTAGAAGTGAAATAACAAAGAAAAATAAAGGTAAAAAAGGCTTTCCCCTGCCTCAGAAAACTCACAACCCATGCACCATCCTGCACAATAATTAAGCAGCATAACAGCTGAATTAGGACAATGTTGCAATTGCAGTTAAAACAGCATAAGCCAATGGCCTTGGCTAACAAAATCTACTCATCCAGCCAGCTTCCCTCCATCCTGTCCCCTTAAGTGGTTCTTGGAAATCTGTTTAGTCTGCGAGTTCTGCAGTCACAATCTGTCCCATACTATCGCTTTGTGCTCCCTAAACCTGTCATTTCATGCTCTGACTGCCATCACTGTGGGCCCAGGACCATTTTTTTTTTGTCCTTTGGACAGCACTGGTATGAGGGAGCTCTGGTCCCCCACTAAAGCTCCTTGGCAGTCCAGTTCAGTCCAAAGCAGCTATCACACAGCTTTCTGCGTGCACTGAGGTAGGCGCATGGAAGGGTTGCTAGAGGAATTTGTACACATTGATAGTTTTTAATACCAAAAACTAGAAAAAAATCAAAGCTAGAAAGTATAGGGCAGCACTGATGGGAACACTAAGCACTCTCAGCCTTCTGATCCTGCCCAGAAGGTGCAACGCACGCTAATCTTGCTAAAGCAAGGTCATCTGCTCAAGCGATGAGCAATCGGCTAAAAATAATGGTGTGCCATGAGTCTAACACCTAGGAATATTGGCAAGAAAGCTCACTTTATTTTCTTGGCCCTGGCTCTGTGACCTGGTCAGACTAACAAAAGCTAATGCCTCTGTCACGGAGAGGACAATTCTCCCGATATCAGTGATTAATACTGCATCTGTCAGCTGGGGATACTTACAGCACTCTGCCTTTTCCTCTTAGCCCTTGGCTGTAAAAGGAGTTTTAAGACATTCTGCTCAACAGATGATGGTCACTTCTTCATTTTGCACTCAATCTCCTCAAAGCCTAACGGGCTGGCTGCAGATGCTGCTAGCTGCTTGCAAGAAATCTTACTGTTAGGAAGAAATTGCACAAAGCTGGTCCTGCTACTATCTCATGAATTTCCCTGTTTTTTCCCTAGTTTGGCTCTGCCTTTAACTGCTGACTCATAAAAAGAAGAGAATAAACCACAAGTTGCAAAGATTTCTTTTTTTCTTTCTTTCTTTTTTTTTTTGACATAGGCAAATTTATCTTTCTTACTTTTCACAGAACACCAACAGCAAAAGGAATGCTTTACATCCTGCCTCCTTCTCACACACACAGGATTACTCCAGATTTTCATTTCTCTTCCCTGTATGGCAGCCTTGATTTTAGCTTATTAATGTGTTTTGCTACTTCGAGAACAAATTTAACAGATGTTAGAGAATTAAGCTCATAGTACCTCCTACTCAGCACTTAAAATTACGGCTTTGCATTGGATTCTTCCCACAAACATTTGAAACCTGGAACTCAATCAGCCCATGTAATGTTTACTTTTCTTTTTTCCTTACTAAGCAGCCAGGATGCGCATGTGTGAGGGAGTTTGTTTCAATGCTCAAGCAGCACATATCACTCTATGGACATACACTATTTTATTTCTGTAAATTAATGGACAATGAGCAAGAATTGTTAAGTGACAGACTTCAAACAAGAAGTACCACAAACCTACTGGAATTGCTTTTTCTCTGAGTAAAAGTCAGCTAGATTTACAAAGCAATACTTTGATAACTCATAGAAAAAGGCTAAAAGTAAACATTAAGCTTTTTTTTCAGGCACAGCAAGCACTCAGTTACCGAAGCAGCTCAAAGTACAGTGTCTCTAAATTAGGATCCGATCTGTTTGCAGAAACATCATTTGATGCCAAGGGTTTTTCTGGAATACCAGCCCCTTGGTATTTCACCTACTTGTCAAGCAGGCCCACAAAAAGCACCGTCATCTCTAGGTCAAAAGTGTCACCGGCCAGGGACTCTGCCTCAAGCTATGAATTGAGAACCTAAGAACTCAGTGGTGAGGTTGGCTGAAAATCTTTAGCTAAAGTACTTTATAGGGAATTCAAAGAGGAATGTTCTCATTCGATTTTGTTTACAGAATATTCCTTTGGCACAAGAGGAGGCTCCAACTCAGAAACAAAGCAAAGGAGTGGAGAGCTAGGAGAAGGTCCCAGCACAAACTTGCTGGTTTGGAATCTGGATACCAGCATCTATTACCGCATGCATCTAAAATTCTGTTGTGCAATAAAACCTTGGTTTGCATTTTGTGTCTGTTGGATTCTTAGCATGCACATCCTGCAGTCAGTATAATCACAAGGAGAACAGCGAACCAGAAGAAACCAAAAGTCCTAAAGGCCCAGTCAGACAGATCAACTCCTCAAGCACAGTATTCCTAACGAAATATTTGATGCATGGATGATACGATGATATTTATGGACTTCCCAGGTGGTGGAATGTGTGGTGATTACACCACTACCCTTTATACACTTTTTTCCCCCCACTTTCTCAGTTAAACAGGAATCTGGTCTATGACAGCTCCTTCGCCAGACACAAGAACAGATGATGCCTCTCTACACTGCGACAGAGCAGTGAGGGATCTGAGGCAGAGCAAGCAAGAAAAAAGGCCCCTGAAGCTTCAACAGAGCTTTGGCTGTCTAGTGCAGAATTAGGGCGTCATGTGGACAAGTTATTATTTGAACTTGCAAACAGAAAGAGAAGGAGAGAGGGAAAAAAAGAGATTTAAAAAGACATCTCCAGCTTAACCATGTTATAGGCCATGACGACAACCACTAAGCCAGGACAAGAAGCCAAAACTGCCTCCAAGCACTAGAAAAGCAATGGTCTCTTTCTTTGCAAATCACAGCAGGGACAGAATGGCTTTTCAAACAGGCATTTATGATCAAAGGCCTGCAGCATACGATAAATATTTATATGGCCCATTAAATAATAGTCTGTATAAATATTATCCAAAATGTGCACGCTGGAAACCACAGACTTCCCAGTTTATCCTTAAACAAATGTGCTAGTTTTCCCACATAGGCAATGAAAAAAAAACGAGGGGTGAAGCTCATTTGCAAAAATATTTCTTTTTATATGTATAAAAAAAAAAGAAAATCCTTAACATTGTTTACTTTAATTTAAAAGGAATGACTAAATAACCAGTGACTGCTTCATTACAACTGCTAAATCCAGTTTGTCCTAC